CTTTTTTTCTCATTGACATTACTTTTTTTTCTGTGAATTTAAATTACTTTATAGTTTCTACATGTTAAATAAAGGCTTGAATTGAAATTATATATGTAGTTAATTAGTGTTGACGTTAAGAATATATCTCAATAATTAGTATTTGAAATGTAAGGCGCCGAATTCAAACTTAGATATATGTATTTAACTAATATTAGTCGTAATATATATATATATATATAATCTATGTAAAATAGTTTATTTGTATTGATTAAATTGTTGTGAATTAAAACTTTAAATCGATAGTTATTTTAAGATTACCATAAATGAACTTGATAATATATATTAAATGTTATACTTTTATCTTTTTTTCTATAAATATTGAATAGATAAAATATTTAGTTATAAACAACTTTGTTTTATCCAAAATATATTATACAGATAAAATATTATTCTCATGCATATCTTAAAACCAGAGTTAAGAACTTACTTCTAGCTAATTATATTTTTCTTTCATATTTTTATTTTATTATCTTTACCTTTCAAAACATAAGATTTAAAACTCAAAAAATAATCTGTGACAATATCTTATTCTCAAAACAGATAAGGAAACAATACTTTAAATAAAAATTAACAAAGAGAAGAAATTGAGGAATGAATATTGTATTGTATTATCATCGGTCAGCCAAGGATCGATCGATCCTCCAACAAGAAAATGACCGACCGATTTGGAATAGCCAATAATGACAATTAATCTGAGCAATAATAGCTACTAATGAGCAATTAATGAGAATAATTGTCATTGATTGACAATTAATAGGAATAATGTCACGTTAGTAAATGAGTCAGACCTAATGGTAAGCTCAATATAATATTTATAAATATATGAAAAAGGCAAGTAGTTTAACTATCATTACTCTCATTCTTATTATAGAATTTATTGAGTGAATAATTGACTTGATCGTCGGGTGTCTTGCCCTCTCACGCACCTAGGACAAGGAGAAGAGAGAGAATAGCGCAAATGGATGATGGAGTGGACAACTTTGAATGCTTTGAGTTAGGAATCTTAACCCTACCGAAACAAATATATATATATATATATATATATATATTGAAATAACAATATCATTAGTTGTAGAATTATTTTAGTTTGATTAACTTTTGAGACAAAAATTAAATTTTCTCTTTTTCAAAATTTTAATCATTTTTATCTCTTAAATTTTATTAATGAATGAAAGTAATCATCTTGACTACACGACATTAAAGATTTATTGAAGTAGCAAATGATATTATCATGTGTGTCCATGTTAGTATCCTATATGCTCTTAACAATGACAACAGGTAGAGTCAAACATAGATAGTGTCTACCTAGTATCAAACCCACAACAAAAATCTTATTAAATATTTAAAAAATTTCTGCAATTTTTTTAAAACATACGGGTATCCATGGATACCCGTGTAATATCTCATTTAATACTAAAAAAGAGATTTCATACTTAATAGATAATAACATATTTATTTAGAATATAAATAATATTTACAAAAATGTCCAAAACAAAATAACCATATTAACATAATATATACAAGGAAACTACTAAACTAGAGAGTTTTTCCAAAATACTATTTATCTTGAGGGATCAAACTTCAAGCTCCTCAACATCCACTGATGCATCCACTCTTGTATCATCCTTTGCTCACACCACAAAGGTGATCACTACAAAAATAAGAAGACAAAACACAACAACCAACAAAACACGTAACAAGGTACACTACCTAAAAAAGAGATATAGATATAATGACAATATACCAGGTCATGTAATTTACACATGAGATATAGTTACAACCATCAAACAAGATCATACATACAATTATCCTCTTCTACCCTTAACTTATCCGAATAAGTGTACTTAAGTTAGACTTATAAAATCATGCACTTGTGATGGTAATACACTACTCTTTTGAGCTACTACACACAAGGTTAGTTCTTGACACAATCATAAGAATCTTGGAATAGTTATTCTGATAGGAGTCTTACGATTCTCACCACTTAATCATTCTCCTCTACATGAGTATAAATGATTATTAGAGTTTAGGATAACTCAACAAAATGAAATAGTCCTTACCTTAAAGCACATTCTAGTGAATCACACATTCAATTAGACTCCCTCCTTGGAAATATCCTGAAACTCGTCCATTCATACCATTTTTTATCCTTACGAACCAAATACATCATTAAGATAACCATTTATATCATACAAGCATGAGAAAAGGTTAACAAAATATGTAGAACACAAATGACATCCAACAACATCACAAGCGTGCTTAGTACTTGCTCTCAAGGGGCTTGGTGTCCAATGGGCCACTCTTGCACCTAGCGCTAAGGCCCTTAAAACACCTCTGGATGAGATTTTCATACTAGTGCCCAAAGACACAAGATAACACCTAACGACACAAAGTTAGTGACTTCATTGACTTTGGTTTTGCCCAGCGAAGCAAAGGCTCAGCCAACGACAACTAAATAAAAGGCTTACTGTCAAAGTGGTGGGTGCCATCTCATGTCGAATGCCTTGGGGCGAAAATACTCCTACACTTGGAAAATTTAACTAGCGCCTAATGTCCTCTACTGTCGCCTACCACCATGATAGAAACCATATAATTAATGAATGGGGAAAATCTAGTTTGATCACTTGACTCTAATTGGTACCTCTACGTCTTCCTTTAGGTCCAAAATAAATGCAAAGCAATCTTTAAATGGTACCAATTAAGCCAATTTCTCAACTTAGAATCTTCTCATTCGATTTTCCTATCAAAATAAAATTCATCTCATTCACAACAACATATAACAACACTCGTTTAACATAAATCACAACTTCTATACGAATCAATATAAGTTCATTAGTAGGCTATAACATTAATTACTTCACACCATTAACATATAATATCACTTTCAATATACAGTCAAAATCACAACAATAGGCTAGCTTCCCTTACCTGACCAAACTGCTCAAATAGCTTTAACACATCTCAACACTTCCAAACTCACAGGATGCATTATGTACACATAGAAACATCCCAAACATGATCAGACCATATCATTATTATCATTGATCAAAAAAGAATCATATAGAGACTAATAGGACAAATTGAGTGTTAGTTATGATGATTGAGAAACATGAGAATTTGTCCATTTTATCAAGTTGGTGTTCATTATGTTATTAAGAACTATATTTGATTCAAGCACTAAGTCAATAATACCAATTCGATCATCTAAACAAGTTTCTGGTTTCCCAAATCGTAGATTTGAAGTGGTTTCTTTCTAATATGCCAATGACCGAGACTGATTGGCATTACAAGTCTGGAAGAATTTTAGCTCCAGACCTCTAATGACCACTTTTTCTCGCCAAGTAACCATTTTGTGAATGGTCTGACATTGAGCTGTGGTAGGGGCCATTTGAGTGCCACTTTCTACTGCAAGTCTAAAACCATTTTAATCCCAACTCGCTAAGCGGTGGAATGGTTTCATTGAGCGAGTCATTTTTCAAGAAGAATTGCATTGAATTCCATTCTTTCAACTGAGTGGCAATTCAAAGCATGTATCCCAATAATTGAGTCTAAAGTCATATGTATGTATGTTCATAAGAAATATGAGATTTTATATATGTTGAGTTAATATGTTATATGTTTTAAATTGTTATATGGAGATTTCTTTTGAACAATAACTTACGCTACCTTCTTTTCTCTTCCATGTTGTTTATATTTGCAATGATCAGTTATTGGTATGAGCACAAGATAAGTTACTTGCTGACATGCCTTTGGTGAGTGATCATTTATGATTTTTTTTAACTAGTCATTTATATAGCTATCATTTATCTTTTGAAAAAACTTTTGTTTAGTTTTTCGATTACCTTGTATATATAACTAAGTATAATTATTACTTTGGATAACTATATTAGTATTTTTGAACGATTTTTAATAACTATGCATTATCAAAATTTATAATGTTTTGTTTAATAGTTTATACTATTAAATAGGATGTTTCACTTTGTTTATATATTTATAATTTTTAAAATTAAACCTAAAATATAGATATTTATTTAATCTTTTAGTTTTCTTACATAACTCTAAGAAAAATGATATCTTCACAAAAACAACCTTAATTAAGATAGACTAACATACACCTAACTTAAAATTAGGATGTGTATAATCTTGTATCGATTCTAAATTAAGTCTACATCAATTCATTACAAAAATTACTCATATATACGATATTATATCATATTATTTACTGAATACTAGTTGTAAATATTTATATTTTTTTACAATTAATATTAGTTAAATACATATAATTTGAATTTAATATCTTAAATTTTACAAAAATATAGAAAATAATTTAAACTCATGTAAAAAAAAGCATTGGTAATTAGAAAAAGGGAAAATAGGATGACATTATTCAAATAAGTAAAAAGGGGAAAATAATAATAATTAATTAATAAAGGTAAATCAACCAATGACATGACCATTTTATAACTTAAAATCCTTTTAAATTCAATGAAGTTTGAAAATTTTTTAAACACAAAAACTTTATTAATATTGTTATAACTGAATACCTACATGTATATCCTCCATATTTAAAAAAAAATCGTTATCAATTTATCAACAGATAATCATGTGTATATATTAAAAAAGAAAATAAAAACATTTTATATGCTTCATTTTGTAATAAGTGTAAATATAGCATAGTGAAACTTAACAAAAAAAAGGTTAGATATATTACCAGAGATAACATATGGTAATTCAAAAAATAAAATAGTAGAAAGTGATTTGACTCTTATCATAAACTTTAGAGAATTCAATATCATAGCGAAACCCTTAGAAGTAGAAAAAGACAAAAAAAGACAAAAAAAAAAGCTTGGATTTAATAACATGACAAATTCATTAATGAAAGAAATAGTATTTTACAGTATATTGAAGCTTTTAAATGTAAGAAAAAAAAAGACATGAAAAGTAAACAATGGTATAATTTATGGTTGTTGTTGACCAATCGTAGCGTGGATTTGAGAGTTTTTAGTCCTTTTCTTGTGGGAAACCCAAATCCATGTTATCACCTCCAAAATGACAGCAATGACGGCCAATGATATGATTATGCCTAAATAATACTTCTTCCATCTATTGTGAGCATCCAAAATGTCAAAACCTTTTAACACATTCCATATAGACAAAGCAATAGTTGTGTAACCAACTATGTAATGAAAAATGTTCCAAAATAATCTGTACTTATGATTTTTTTTAGGCCTTAAAAACACAGCAACACAAACTTGTGCAGATGCAAGACACATTAGAGTGATTCCAATGCATCGATGAGGAACATGATGAACTCCATAGTGATTTCCAATATACAGACCACTCGCAAACCCAGCAATGGCGATCAAAAAGGCCAATGATTGACATGCTCGATGCAAGTGAAACCAAGTTCCTCCCAAACCATCAAACACCTTCAAGTAACGACCCAAAATCACTCCAATTGGCATCATTATTCCCCAACTCACAGTATTCAAAATTCCATGAACCTGCATAAATCACAAGCTCAAAATACACTCTAACATAAAATGTGTAAATATGAAAATAAAAATTATTTCTTACGTTTCTCAACATGTTTCGTGAGTTCACATCTTTAGTGGCTTTAGAAACCTTGCTAGATATGAAATCAATGGTTCCATAGGATTGAAGGTTAGAGGGTGAGAAAGAGTGAGGTCTAAGGGTGCCATCATCGGAAACCACACCCTCTTGCCATGCATGGTTCACCACAGTCTTATTGGATGGAAGTTGAAAACTTGCAACAATGATGATGCGACCATTTGTGTATGAAGCAGAAAGGCTATAAACTGAAAAACTGAGATTACCCTCTTGTAACATTGTCGCATAACTAGTTATTGGAGATGTGTATGCTCTGATGATGCCATTTGATTTATGAACTGCAACAAGTGATTGTGAACCCAACATACCCTTTGAGGTAGGATTGATGGCCCATGCAACCCATGTTGAATCCTTTGCGTTAGCCTTGTTGAATGCAACATCGACNATGCAAGTGAAACCAAGTTCCTCCCAAACCATCAAACACCTTCAAGTAACGACCCAAAATCACTCCAATTGGCATCATTATTCCCCAACTCACAGTATTCAAAATTCCATGAACCTGCATAAATCACAAGCTCAAAATACACTCTAACATAAAATGTGTAAATATGAAAATAAAAATTATTTCTTACGTTTCTCAACATGTTTCGTGAGTTCACATCTTTAGTGGCTTTAGAAACCTTGCTAGATATGAAATCAATGGTTCCATAGGATTGAAGGTTAGAGGGTGAGAAAGAGTGAGGTCTAAGGGTGCCATCATCGGAAACCACACCCTCTTGCCATGCATGGTTCACCACAGTCTTATTGGATGGAAGTTGAAAACTTGCAACAATGATGATGCGACCATTTGTGTATGAAGCAGAAAGGCTATAAACTGAAAAACTGAGATTACCCTCTTGTAACATTGTCGCATAACTAGTTATTGGAGATGTGTATGCTCTGATGATGCCATTTGATTTATGAACTGCAACAAGTGATTGTGAACCCAACATACCCTTTGAGGTAGGATTGATGGCCCATGCAACCCATGTTGAATCCTTTGCGTTAGCCTTGTTGAATGCAACATCGACTATACCTGACGTAGGATGATAGTTCCAATGCAACGAGGATTCAAGAACAGGAAGATCCTGACAAGATGCATAGTTTATGTTTTTTGAAAACCTGTATGAGTTGCACGATTGTGAGATGTTATGAACAATGGTAGCTACTAAAAATGTCAACAAGAAAAAAAAATTGTGTTTTAAATGAGAATCAATTCAAATTTTATAAAATTTAAATTTATAATTTAAAAAAGATAATGTAGTTATACATTTTAAAAGCATACTTTTCAACCAAATATAGACAAAAATAACAGTAACAGAATAAATGTGTTTTTTTCAAACCCTGTATAAGTTGTAGCAATATTAAATGGTAAGGACAATAATGACAACAATAAATGTGTAAAAAACTATTATCTTTTGAATGGAAGCTATTCATAAATTTTTGTTTCCAAACCTGAACCACCTTTATTCATATATCTAATTCAATTAGATGAAATTGCAATACAACGTAAAATACTAAAACTTAATTAAATAAAAATAATTTTATAATTAAGAGATAATCACATATCACGTATATACATACATATAAATAAACAATTATTATCATATAAACGATAATACATGATTCAACAAATGACAAACATATGAAATACTTATATTATGAATGTCATATCAAATGCTAATAGCTAATCTAATAATAAACTTAGATCAATAATGAATCTATGATTTAAACGCTATAATTTTCACTCTAAATATACACAACACTAATAGAAAAAGTAAAACGGTTGTTTCCATGATAAAATATAATGTTTAATAACCTGTATAAATTGCATGACTGTGAAGTGGTAGGAACAACAATGACAACAAGCAATGTGAACAAGAAGATTGTGTTTGCACTAAAAGCCATAAGGAGAAAAATAGAGAGAAAAACAATTAACTTCAAATTTTGCTAAGATTTTTGAGGATGAATAAACAATGGTTATACATGTATTTATAGATTTATAAGATTGATAAAGAGAGAGATATTATATTATCTAACCATATTATAAATATCTTTTCAAAATATTTTTTTTATCTTTTTATCTTAAAAGTTGAAATGAATTTTTTTTCTATGTAGTAGAGATAATATTTGAAATTCAAAAATATAATTCTATAGGTTTATATGTTTGATAAATATCATTTAAAATATCTCTTTTTGAAAGAATAATTATCTTTTAAAACTGAAAGGTTGAAATGATAATCTTTTATATAGTTAAAACAGTTAAGATCCAAAACTCAATAAAATATTTTTACTAAAATATGTTTTAGTTTGTGTTTAATTAAAATTTATACTAAAAATAT